ACATGTCTGTGAAATATACATTGACCTTTTCCAGCACTCCAGATTCTTGCCATCCTGCAACTTTCCGTGCAAGGTTATGGAGTTTTCTGTAGCTGATTCATTTTTCAACACAGATGTTGCTGGTCTTCATTAACCAGTATGCTCTGCTAGCAACAGATGGCTACAAAAGGCTGCTCATGACATCACAACACAACAATATTTAAAAATGTATCTAAATCCAAAAACAAATATGTGGTATATTGCAGTGTACCAGTCTTTAGATGTAGTAGCTGCATTAGTTTTCCCTTTCCTAAGGCTAGTAACATTTTCAGCAAGTACACAAATAGATGTTGATCTTGCCAGAAATGCTGTGTTCCCTGTCACTACGTCTGAATTTGAAAGAATGTGCAAAGAACTTTATATTTGTACAATGTAAGACGTACTAATGCAAACATGTTTGAATTCCAGACTGTGTGACAACCATGGCTACATCTATGGATACAATGAAGAAAACAGAATAGGCATAAAGGGGCAGGGAGTGTGTTATTCGTAGGATTGCAAAGTGAAAATAAAGGAAAAAAAGAATTCAGCCACCTAATCTAAGAACTTGGGTTGCAATATATTACATTTTTGTCTTTGGATTTAGATTCACTTTAAGCATACATTAATTTAACAAAAATGGGATCCCCAACACTGCAATGATTAAATGAAGGGGTGCTGGAATAAGTACAAATGCTCACCTTGTTCTGCACTCCAGCAACTAGTCCCCTGCAGTCTACGGTCTAAGGTGCTCCCAGCCACTTACAATACCTGGTTGATAGTCCTGCATTGTATATGAGGATGCCAAGGACCTGCCCACAGCCCGGAGCACCAGAGCGAGAGAAGGAGACCCGTGGAGCAGGCAGGAGTGGGGGGAGTGGCAGGAGTGGGGTTACGGTACCGATTCTGCTATATTTGAAACTTAACATTAGTAGTTACCTTTGCACTGAAACAAGCTATGAATTTCCCATCCTAAAAGAAAAATAAATCAAATTTATCCTGCTTGGAAGTATGGTAACACTACTCTATTCATGTACAGATCTTCCCCAAAAAATCTAAATTTGATCAATCAATGCCAGGGAGTGTTCACAGGAGTCAAAAATAAATAATTTTTAATCCAACTAGTAAAATACATGAATCTGTATTACATTTGGTTCTTGTAATCCTCTACACAGTAGAATTTAGGTTCAGTGCTGTCAGTTTAACACTGGCAGCTTGCTGAGAAGAGTAGAGAGCTGAGTAAGCAGAGTGATGACATGTTTTGTTATCAGCAGGCTAAGGGTGGGTGCTTAACTGCAGTACAGTAAAATAAGGTTATGGACCATACTATGCTTAGCGACAGATGAGTTTGGATCACAAGACTAATCAAACAATGCCACATTTTTGGGAGATAAAACATATTACGTACAGTACATGTATTTTAGATGTGTCTTCAGTTGGTTTCCTGGCTTTCAGTGTTAAATTAGCTGAGTAAGTGTTGGACACTGGGCAAGTGAAGCAGAAATGTAAACCAAGCACTTCTATGGATACATAAACCACCTTTTCATTGCTATATCTGTGCATGATATCCAGAGAAATCAAACATTTCTTATACAATGCATATATACTTGTATGATGTTTAGAGTCTTCTGTGCAACAAGGGCAACTGCAGCTTAATCTTTTCAGTCTGGTCACATTGGCCTAGTCTAAAATTACATTTTGCCATAACACAATTTGTGATCTTGTAATTTCAGACAACCAGGGAGAACATTTAATGTTCTTCACTATTTCCACATTACAGGTGCCTAAGGGCAATGAGCTTATGAATGCAGTATCCCTCAATCACAGCTGGACTCAAACACTGGCAAAGCTTGCAGTGACACCAATGAAATCATGAAAAAATCACAAACTACATTTATGAAAGCTGAATTCCTGGGAAATTGTAAATGTACCCCTACAGTGGGTTAAATGTTCGCTTTTGCTTAGGATATCATTAAAAAGATGTTTTACATACCATCACATGCTTTACTGCTGAAGGCATCTTGTCTCAGTGCGACCGTCTATTGGTGGCACAATGCCACCAATAGACAATGCTCTGTCTATTGGTGGCACCCTGGTGTCATCATGTACAATTCGGGACCAGCAGTTCTTTACTGCAAGTTAAGGCCAGCCCACAACCCAGAACAAGTGATAAGGATAAGTAAAGTCGTTCTAAAGGCTAAAAGTTTTTTACCTTCGTGCATTGGCTCCCGCTGTTGTCAATCACAGCCAATAAGCCAATGAGGAAGAAAGGGTCAGGACCAAGCTGTGGCTGTGTGTGTGTGAATGGACATGCAGAGCAGTGGCTCTGGAGCGAGCTTGCTTGGGTGCTCCCATAGCAAGCTGTTTGCTCTAGGTGCACGGACCAACGGAGGGAGACCCAAAAAGAGGAGGATCAAGGCCTCTCTGTGCAAAAACCACTGAACAGGGTAGGTGAGTATAACATGTTTGTTTGCTTTTTTAAAACTGCCTTTAATATAAATTTAAACTTTAAGTGATTCTAAAGGTTAATTTTTTTTATTTTGGAAAATAACAAACATGTTATATTTACCTACTGTGTGCAGTGGTTTTGCACAGGGCAGCCCGGATCCTTCTCTTCTTGGGTCCCCTGCAGGCTTTCCTGGCTCCCTCCACTCAGCTGTCTGGGGGCCCCCACACCAAGCAGCTTGCTATGGGGCCTTTACAACCAAAATGACCATTAAACCCTTGCAGACAAAATGATCAATAAACTACATTACACATTACATTCCCATGGGACTTTTAAGACAATAGTATGTAAACCTTATAAATAAAATAAAATCCTTATCTTTATTTACACCATATTAAAAAGGAAACAGAAAATCAAATAGCAGATGGAACATCATCCATATACAGAACGATGCAATATACCCATAACACTACCCATACATCCCTAATAGGAGAATGATTACAATTTCTCCTAGTGCTTGACTTGTTTGCACCAATCCCCCAAGCAGAATAAACCCAACTTATTTTGACTATTCTTCCTCAGGAGAAGAATGTGACATATTGTGACAGTATAAGGTTCTGTCACTGTATAACTGGTCAGCAAAAGGACACAGGCTTTGCACTTTTGCTGAGTGCAGGACTAGGGAGCAGATGTTCTGAATGGAGAAAAATGCTTTTGCAGCTTTCTCCAGGTTTTGGTAGTCCTGGATGGGGCTCCCTAGTTTGGAGATTCCAAAGTGCTTTGGGCAGGATGGGATCTCCAACCCAGTGTCCGGGTTTTGTGGAGGAACAGCAGGGTGTGTGCCCAGGTGAACACAGCCCTTATATTGGAGGTTTAGGAATACCTCGGGGCTCTACCAAAGAGAGACAGAAGGTCTCCTACAGGAGACAGAGAGGCTGCAGGTTACAGCCGGAGCATGAATGTCTGCAAGAGACAGTTAACGGCCTAAGGACTAGGCCAGAGGAGCTGTGTGCATCCGAGTTAATGGCCTGAGGACTTAGCACGAGGGGTTGTGTGCGTCCGAGAAGCTCTTAGCTGTGTGCCTGAAAGAGCTGGTGGTCAGAAGGACCAGTATCTATAGCAACAGTGCTAATGAAGAGTAGCCAGGTGGGCTAGTATTTTCATTTGGACTGTGTGTATTTTACTGGAGAAGAACCCCTGCATGGGAAACCTTACATTGGAGTTTTGTTTTTTTCCTTTCCTTTTAATAAAAGTGGGCTACCAAGCCCTGAAATATTGTTCCTGACTGGTGTGAACTCACTCAAAACGCATCTACCACAGAGCTAAACATCCCCAAATATTACAATATCTATAATAAAATTAACAATTTTGATTACAGATGTGATGTTAAAATATTAGAAGCAATATACTTTATACTATAACATCACTTCTGTAATCAAAATTGCTAATTTTTTTTTATAGCTATGTTCACACCCTTCTATCCTGAGGAAGAATAGTCCAAACACGGATAGCTTCTCTAACCATTCCACCTAGCATCTGACATAGGCCAACTGCCTTGTAGAGGGCAGTGACACATAATTTGCACAGGAAGGGCTGAGATGGCTTTGACAAATTGGCTGTAACTGATGCCTTTGTCTCGCCTTCTCTGTACTGTGCAAAAGGCAAGATGGTAGCTACACATGCGACAGATTGGTAGTTTATAACCTGAGTATTTCATATTATACATCAGTTTCTATAAATATTGATAATGTAAAGGGCTAAAGTACATTTCTTTAAATGTCTACAGTTAAGGGTTAAGGTTATAGTAAAAGACTGGAGCAAAGACTGAAAAAAAACGTGCAGATTAACAGTTGATTACATTGTTATTTAAAAAAAATGGGTCTATCGTATAGTACGTAAACTGATGGAGGCCCATGTCGCTGGAAATCTATTTGCAACCTTGCATAGTCTTATGAGTGTCAACAATTCTTTCTGAAGATTGTTCTTTAAATATAACCATCTTTATAATGAAGATGAACACTGATTAGATTGTAAACCACACAGAATAATAGGTGTGGTGGGTTCTCCCTAGAATTTCTCTTATTTGCATCCTTTTGCTCTATTAAATATACAATATGTTCACAAAATACATGCTGATCCTGCCATAATTCCATTGAGCTCCTGGTTTTCTGTATGCTCTGCCTGTGCTTCAATGGTATCAGTTAGCTGTGTTACCAGCTCTACTCAGTTCTCTATGTGGACTGCAGGACACAGCATCATATAATATAGGGATGAAGATAAGGGGGTGTGTTCTGTAGTCCTAGCACTTTTCCTGTTATATGGCAACAACACATTTTTTCCATAGATACATAGAGTTACTCTTTAAAATTAAGGTTTTCATTGGTTTCTGAGGAGAACCATGACCATAGCACTCAGAGACAATTGTACTCCATATGCTCTGGGTGCTCACTAGAACCCAAGAAGCCTGTGTGGTAGCCTATGTGTGTCACGGGAAATACTTTATTTTATATTTACTGGGTTATGGCTGTAAGCTGACCTGTACTTCTGAATCAGCATCCACGTGTTGAACTTGGAACCACGTTTCCCTGTTGTTGTACTTCTGAAGATCTTCTTTCAATATTGCAACTTTGCCTAGGACAGAGACAAAAAAACATACAAGAATTATTTTTCAGTTCTTGCTAGGGAGATATGAGGGAGAAGAGTCAAAACAATAAACCTTTATTAACCCACATAGCACAATATAGGACTTTTCAAGAAGTGCATTAGCCCACATCAGCCATCTTGGTTTAATCAGAGAAAGACAAGAACAATTCTTCTAGGTTTGTGTTCGGTTACTGCACATACTGTGATCAACAAACGTCACCATCTTTGGTAGGCCTGGATGTGTGGAAATATGTATTTAAAGGTCTCTCTAATGATAAAATCAAAAGATCGGAAACCAATCTAATAAAGAGATCACAAAGTTCTAAGGTAGCTGGTTATTACAGGGGAAAAAAAGGACAGCGGACTCAAAACAATGGGCACTACACAGCATGAGCTTCGAAAGGAATTAGAATAGTGGTCTCAAAACTGCAGCCCAAGGGCTGGATGTGGCCTTTTACTTCATTTTATCTGGCCCTTGGGGTATTATTCGCTCACTGTCAGCAACAGTGGGGCATAGTTCCTGCCACTGACACCAACAATGGAGCACTATTCCTCCCACTGACACCAATGATGGGGCACTATTCCTCCCACTGACACCAATGATGGGGCACTATTCCTCCCACTGACACACACTGATCGGGCACTATTCCTACCGCTGATACCAATGATGGGGCACCATTCCTCTCACTGACACCAATGATGGGGCACCATTCCTCCCAATGATACCAATGATGGGGTACTATTCCTCCCACTGATACCAATGATGGGGCACTATTCTTCCCACTGATATCAATGATGGGGCGCTATTCCTCCCACTGATACCAATGATGGGACACTATTCTTCCCACTGACACCAATGATGGGGCACTATTCCTCCCACTGATACCAATGATGGGACACTATTCTTCCCACTGACAGCAATGATGGGGCACTATTCCTACCACTGACACCAATGATGGGGTACTATTCCTCCCACTGATTCCAATGATGGGGCACTATTCTTCCCACTGATATCAATGATGGGGTACTATTCCTCCCACTGATGCCAATGATGGGACACTATTCTTCCCACTGAAACCAATGATGGGGCACTATTCCTACCACTGACACCAATGATGGGGCACTATTCCTACCACTGACACCAATGAGGGGGTACAATTCCTCCCACTGATACCAATGATGGGGCACTATTCCTCCCACTGATACCAATGATGGGGCACTATTCCTACCACTGACACCAATGATGGGGTACTATTCCTCCCACTGACACCAATGATGGGTTACTAATCCTTCCACTGATATCAATGATGGGGCACTATTCCTCCCACTGATACCAATGATGAGACACTATTCTTCCCACTGATACCAATGATGGGGCACTATTCCTACCACTGACACCAATGATGGGGTACTATTCCTCCCACTGACACCAATGATTGGGCACTAATCCTCCCACTGATACCAATAGTGTGACACTATTCCTCCCACTACCACCAGTCATGGGGCATTTTTTACTGCCACTGACACCAGGACTATTTCTACTCCCGCTGACCACAGTCCGACCCCCCCTAAAGATTGAAGGACAGTAAACTGGCCCCTTGTTTAGAAGACCCCTGAATTAGAAGAATACAGGATGAAACTCCAGGAAGTGGGTGTAGCAACACTGTCCAATATTAAATGTGCGCTTTCTATGCTACTAGCATACTATATGATAGGCATGTTTACAGAGCAGCAAATGTTTGGTTTGCCATTCATTAGCTGTTGGTTTGCAAGATCACATTCATCACATACTAGTTGTTTAATAAGGAATCCAGGTAGTATTATATTATTAATACACTGACTGTATTCTGCATACAACCGTTCCCCCAATCCTTTTGCAGATGTAAGATTTGAATGGAAGACATGCAGTAGTCGCTTCTGCTTGCCCACAGACACACACTCCATGCACTGCAATCAATCATACATAATTTGGGCCCTCTACATTCAGATTCATGTTATAAATGCAAGGAGAATGCTAGTAAACAGCCTAGAATCACCTGCTTTTTATAAATATCCCTGTATATTTAAAGTATAACTAAAGGCAAAACTTTTTTTCAGTTATCAATACAGTTGAGAGCAGGGGCGGACTTACAACTCATGGGGCCCCCGGGCAATAAGGGATCATGGGGCCCCTGTGTCCTTGCCCACACTCAAAAAAGCCTATGAAAGGTACCAGGGGCTTCTCATGGGGCCCCCTACTGACCCCGGGCCCTCAGGCAGTGCCTGAGTTCCCCAATGGTCAGTCCACCCCTGGTTGAGAGAGATTAAAACACTTGTCAGTTTTTATTGCTGTCTGTGTCCTCGTTTGGGAGATTCACCCTCTCTATTTGTCCTGTTTACCATCACCACCAAGAATGAAAGTGAAATTTTTGGATTGTCACCAGAACAGTAATAGAGGAGATGTCCTGATGACACCCTAGGATTACCTCACTTTGGATGGATTTCCTTGCTGTTTTGGCTATGGGACAGGAAGTAAAGGGAAATCACCCCAAAAATAGCAACATAACAAAAATCAGGGCTTATAACCCTCCCTTCCTCTATCCAAAATGAAATAAAAAATGTTGTTTTTAGTTTTACTTTTGTTTTACTACATAAAACAAGAAATATAGCAGAAGGCAATCACTATATGCAAAGTGCAATAACCCATAGCAGATCAGTTGCACTACTTCACTGCCTCTTTTTAATGTTTAAAGTGTTACTAAACCCACATCAGTAAAATCAGTCTATATATGCAGTAAAACATGCTTGTTATACTCACTGTGAAACCTAGGGGGTTATCCTCCACATTGTGTAAAAAGGCTATTTGAGCCTGTCTTCTCTGATCCTCCCCTTCTTCCACAGTCCCCAATCCATCTGCTGATAGTACAGAGCCCTAGGAGTCACTCTGGACATGCTCAGTTTGGTGTGTATTGCTAGATTTTTCTTTTTGGGAGGGTGCATGTGATCGTCACAGGACCAATCAGCGCTGTCCAGAGAGAGGATCAGGGATCATGCAGCCTCATAGGACAGTCAGAGGAGAACAAAAAAACTCCTCCTACAAGCTTTAACCAGTACTCGGCTGGACACTGATAGAAGTCACAAGACTGCTCTAACTGCTGATGAGAAAAGGTATTTAGCAATTTATGTATTCTACAATAACTGCATTTCCTTGTTCTGTGTACTGTGGGAGACCAGACAGTGAATGCAGAGTCCTGGGATTAGTAACACTAACTCACACAAGTACAGAACTGCAGAGTACCCCCAGCAAGTCAGTGACCACAAGCCCATGTACTAAAATCCCAATGTTTCAGATTACAGTTTGCCAGCTAAGTTAGCTGTTCCAATTTATAACATCCAGTTAGAGCTGATTGTATGTAAAAACCATGTTGGGGAAAAAACAGTCATTTTGTCATTTTGTCATTTTGTCATTTTGAAAAGAATGAAAACAAGAACTGAGTCTGGGGAACCTGGTACCATAGGAAGAGGAAAACATTAATAGAGGAGGTCATAACACCATTACCATAATAGAAAAGAAAAGCTAAAAATAAGAAAATAAATAAGTAGGCCAGAGTATGTAAAAAGATCATCGCTGGATCTTATTCTGTACCAGTTATGTATCATGGAAAGGATGATGGGAGACCTACTTGTTGTTTGCCTGCTTGAGCCGCTCCTACTGTGAACATTACGTTTCGGTAAATGCTACAATCTGACAGCACTATATTTGTCTTCAATGCCAGGAAATTATTTTTTAGCCCAGACAATTATGTTATTAAACACTTGTTTTCTCATTTATTTGGGCTTGCTATATTGAGAATCTCTATTCAGCTTATTGTATTATCGCCCAGCATTATCCTATTAAATGTATTACACAATGACTCCTAATTAGATTGATTAAAATTGTTATTTATATTCTTTTAAAGGAATAAGTCAAAAACTAAAGTGTCAGCTTCAGTTAATTGTGCTTGTTATCATTTTTCAGTTAAAAATTGATGTAATAGCAGTTAATATGTCTAAAATGAGGGATGGGAATTGTAAATCTTCTCAAAACAAAAAAGGAGACATTGCTGTATAGTGTGTAATACATGGCACATGACCTGCTTACACCTATATGACGTATAAAAGTCTGATTTAACCGAACTGCGTCAGTCTGCTGTTATGTCAATCCTATATCACTAATAAAGCTTTCATGAGGATTATGGAGTTGCCGGCTCTTCCTGCTTTTTGTAAAAGCCTGATGTTACAATAACGCTCACACAAGTAAACGCAAATACAACACAATGCCTATATTTTTTACCACAGTCTTGGAAACAAACTGGTCCTAAAACCTTAAGGTTTTTAACTTAATGCATTATTTATTATTTATTACAGGTAATTTTATAGCGCCGTCAATTTACGCAGCGCTTTACATATATATTGTACATTCACATCAGTCCCCCTAACCCTCAAGGGGTGTACAATCTAAGGTCCCTAATGTACATTCATACATACACATACAGTTGTGGCCAAAATTATTCAACCCCCACTGAAATTGAGTGTTTTGGCCAGTTTGACATTGCTTTTGATCATTCAGTCATCTTGCTTACATTTACATTAAAGAGGCACTTGTAGGTCAGACAAATATAACATAACAGTTATAATGAAATAACCACAAATGTCTTTTCTGTGCTCACAGCATTATCAGTTTTATTCAACCCCAAGTGACATTCAATCTTAGTACTTAGTACAGCATCCTTTTACAGTTATAACAGCTTTTAAACGTGAAGCATAGCTTGACACAAGTGTCTTGCAGCGATCTACGGGTATCTTCGCCCATTCTTCATGGCAAAGGCCTCCAGTTCAGTCACATTCTTAGGCTTGCGCACTGCAACTGCTTTCTTTAAGTCCCACCAGAGGTTCTCAATCGGATTTAAGTCTGGTGACTGCGATGGCCACTCCAAAATGTTCCAGCCCTTTCCTCTGCAACCATGCTC